ATAGGAATATAAAGTGTGTCTTTCAAAGCCCTGAGCAAGCGACCACAATGAAGCCCCAAGGGAAAGCTTCCATGGACGTCATCAAGAAGAACCTCCATGAAGTCAACCCCGTGCTAGAAGGTGCCTCGGACATCGAAGTCTAGCAAAAGCTGCGTGCGATTGCGCAGGATCAGCACTTGGTTAAAGAAGAAGCCTGGCCTGTAGTGAAAGGCGTCAATCGAGGATAGCCTTCCCGCCCATTTTCCAGTGGCAAAATAGGAACCTCCAGAATGAGTGGGGCGCTTTCGCACATACACGGATAACAGTAATAAACTCAGGCTTCACATTTCCATGTAAGTCCAAGTCCAACTAGTAATGTAAGTAATCCTGACGTTGGCAATGTCTACCTCTTCAATTTTGGGTCAGTCTATCTACACTGAAAAAATTCTTGGGGAAAAAAAGAATGGAACAGAAACTACAAGAGGGCATTCCACTCTCAGTAAGAAGAAGTAATGGAATTTGGAAAATCTGAGAGAACTCTGGTCCACGGCTCCTTCATTTTTCATCGTTCTACATCAATTTCTTGCGAGTGTCATTTCTCAAGGTAGCCCGACAAGTCAACATTGAAACGTTCTCATATTGATTCATCTTTACAGACAATGACAAGTAAATGGCATTCTCATACGATAGCTGCCTAAGCAGTACGCATCATTGCGCATCAGTTTTTAAAAGGGAAGAAGTCTCTGGCCCTTTTCTGGGGAACAACATTTATGGACAAGGTCATGGACAACAGAAGGTGCTGACCCTGTGCTGCTATAGAAAATGTAGTGCAAGATACGGCGACTCTTCACGCAGAAGGAGTAAAACCAGGGCACATCATTGTTGGGAATTCCCCTAGAGGGGGTCGTATCTGGTCGCTGGGAGGGGGGACGCATTTATCTTTGCGGTGTTGAGTACAATTTTTTTCCGCTTGTGGAGTTTTGAGAAAGTAGGAAAATTTTTGGGAAATTTCGGAAAACTGGTAAGAAGTTGGGAAAAATCTAACAAAGAGGTTGGTAAGACGATAAGCTGGGGTGAGGGTGTTCGTATTTCCCCTGCGACTTTTCTCGTTTCAGGTGCGCAATATACTGCCCATCCCTTCTCCTCCGACAGCCGATCAGAGGGAGAACCAGGAGGAGGAGGTTGAATCGAGCCACCTTTTAGGGGGCTCACGAGGGAGATCTTTCAAGTCGTGCAGTCCACTTTCGAAACGGTTTATTTTGTGTTGTAGTAGTTCGCGGGGAACCGAAAGGTTTATGGGGGAAACAAAAACTCAACTCATTTTCACTGCGCACTTCTGGAAGTGAGAGGAGACCTGAAAGGTTGCACAAATTCACGACGATCTCGGCGATAGGGAGCTCTTCTGCTTTTGGACAAATGATTTGGGTGATTTTAGCACGTTTCTGTTCAGACATGTGGTGCGACTTATATAATTACAAGAAAATAAAAAATGCAGGAATGCAGAATTTTGTCACCGGAGTAATCGCACGGTCGTCCTCATGATCACCCTTTGTTTGGCCTTCACAGAAGCGCACAGCGAAAATGAACTACACTTTTGTGGTCTTGCATGGACCTCTTTAATATGCAAGGAACCGCTTTGAAAACGGGCTCCACGACCTGAAAGACCCCTATCAGAACAGAGCACACTACGGTATCCGGACGGGATGCGCTCCATTAACAGTACATACAACTCGAGGGCGGAGTCACTGTCACTATCGGGTGGCTCTCATTGGTGCAGCCCTCCTTTTCCCCATTTCCAGAAGGTGCGATCCGTGAATAAGAGGCAGCAGAGTCCAAGTGAACGCCTGACACCTCCTATGCATTTAAAAATGAAGACTGTGAACTTCATTATTTCCGAGGATGAAGAAGAAACATGTCTATTTAGCAGGGTGGAACAAGTCAAGGCGAGCAGAAGAATGAATGAGGTGAAAAAAAAAACATCAAAAATGTTGGATGCAAGTCCTGGAAACTTGCGGCACAAAGAGAAGTGCAGAGCGATTCCTGGGTGTTGCATGAAATACCAAAAAGAAGTTTACATATTGATCATTAAAAGCCATCAAGCTGAGAGGGTGAGAGCGGTTCTGGCGGCGCAAAGGATAGCCCACTCGCCCGGAAAGCTTGAGGCGCGGGTTCAAGTCCCGCCGGTGTTCACACTTTTGCCATAGCTCACATTCTTGTGATAACAGACAAGAAGTTCAGTCAAGTCAATTACAAATGCTACATCTCATGATAATGCCATATCGGTCGTTAGGAATTTGACCACCACGATCGATAACGCTACAAAATCCCCCTATCGTTAAATTGGGGTTGAGAAAAAAAAAGGTTTTCCACGATTCTTTGTAGATAAATAACAAGATGTCAAAAAAGAGTGAAGACCAAGGAGAGGAATAACATCTAGCGAAAAGGTGACAATGTAATTGTAATCTCCATTTTTCGTGGGTTGAAAAAAAATGGCGCATGTCGGAACAATTTTAAAGGCAACCCAATTCTCTTCTCGCACTATAATTTACAAAGAAGAAGATTAGCAGTTAAATAGTGTGTAAGGTCAGTAGAGGTGGAATTACACAAACGTAGCAGCGCAAAATGGATAAGGCAGTAAGTCAGTACAAGTTAGTGACACCTCAAAAAAAAAATCAACTCGTAAAGAAAAACTTGCGAGAAGAGATGACGATGATGGATGAAGGCGCGCACAGTTAAAGTAGAAAAGGACGGTGGGCGGATGATATGGAAACATATGTGTAATATTATAGCGACAACATCATCACGAGTAACCATTTGCTGCAAAAATATCCTCGCTCTACTAGTTCTTTTCTACATTGATTTTGTGATAAAATGGTTTGTACGGATCACCAGATGATCACTTATAACCATCACATAAAAGTGGAGAACATCGAACACACATGTACAAGTTATCTGAGAGGCTGATCTTTTTCCGATGTCTGAAGGAGGCAGGCCATATGCTGGATGAATACTCTTCACTCACTGGAATGTCCTGCGTACGGTAAAAGCTGGCTGGATAATTAAATGTGGAATTCCTTATTGATACTCCGCCACCCGTTTCAAAACGCAAATAGCAGAACCAATGAATACGCACACCGCGCGTGCAGAAGAGGTAACCCGCACGGTCAGCGCACGCCTAACCGTGGCCAAACGCGAGCCTAACCGCAGCCACGGAAAAAATCTAGCCATGGCACTCCTCCACTATTATTTCTGAGCATGTTGGAGTGGCGAAATATCCACTTTCATGGCTGGGCCTTCATCTCGCATATGGAACGGGCCCACCTTGCAGATCACTGCATAGTGTGCCTCTAAAGAGAAACAATGAGGTTAATAAAAAGAAGACTTGTTGCAAAACTTGAGCGGGCTTCAAGGGCTCTAAAGAACCTCGCTTATTTAATCATCAACTTGTTTACTTATTCATTATCCGTTTGGCAGGCCAGTAGCAGCGCTAAGACAATAGCAAAAGGAAATCAGAAAGATGGCAACAAGACATAAGGATGCGCCATGCATTTCACTTTTACTTATAATTTTAACTAACTGTTTAATGAACTGTCTCAAGGCAGCAAAAAAAATCAAAGAAACCATAATTGTGAAGCTTGTATATGAGTGAC